TAGTTCCATTTAAAGCGTTTTTCATAAAATATTAGATAGATGAGGATGATTAGCAGACAGTCAATCTGCTGCTCGAAAATGTTACCCCTAAACTTCAATCATCCAACCAACCAGAGAGAGATTAAGAGGTGGATGGAGAAGTAGAGATGGAGATTTTCGTTCGTGACATTAAAAAGCCGAAACGCGAGTCAATACCGTGAGAGAGGTACTCCAGGGTATTAAGAATATTTATAAGCGGACTTTATTTTTTGCCGGAACAAATACAAAAACAAGCTACTGAAATTTCGTAGTAAACACGGAGGCATACTGCTTCTGTTTGAAGAGAGCATAGCTCGGAGATCGTGAAGTTCAAGTCAAGCTGAAAGCAAACAACTACCAAGTCGTTCAAGCAAAACAGACTGGCATGAGTGGGCCTGGAGGCGAATGGGAGGTTAAAAGCCTTGAGAGGTAATACAAGATACAGCAAAACCAAGGAACCACAGCCTTTCCATTTCATCTCAATAGGTGACTGAAGTTTTATTAAATGGGATTAAAAACATGGAAATCACCTGTCCTTGCATATTCATGATGGCGATGGTGTTTGAACGACTGCAGACGATGAATTGGTCTGCATTGCGAGGCATCAGCTGTACGCTCAAAATCGGTACTTCACGACCAACAAGACCTGAAATGGTCTAAACAAAAATAGGACGGGGTGGAGAAGATGTTTTCACAGATTTATCCTATGGCTATATTTTAATTGTACATAGTAACTGCAACAACTTGGGTGTTTCACAGTTTCAAATAGCAGCAGACTGGAAAAGGAGGCTCCAAAATGAATTTCCTACTTCCAGGTTTGGGATGGTCAAACTACAGTGTTGTGTCCAAAGTAGTGAGTACTATGGTTTACCTATTTCCTTTTCACAACCATCCAAGTTATCCAAAGTTGGATTTTAAAGGGATATATGAATAGGTAAAAACAAGGCTACATGCTCCACTTCCAAAATCACAGTTTGTTCATACTAAGGCAATAAGAAGTAAAATGCAAAGAAATGTGCGTTTTTCAGATTCGCCAAATGTTATTTTCCTTCCTTAAGCTGGTGTCAAAACAAAGAATCAAAAGTCGCTGCTTTATTTCGTCGGTACTACTCTTACTGAAGATCCTACAGTCCTCAAATTATTAAAAATGGAGGAATACCCCGGAAGCGAAATATTTCGATTTCTGGTAAACTTAAACGTGATGCCTTCTAGAAAGTGGAAAGCTTGTTTATTTTTCTTCGAGATGAACAACGCCTCACTTTATGGAGGGCAGCAACAAGTAAACCACCTCGATAGCCAAGGCTACGGACGCGAGTATAAAGAACAAACGTAAACTTATAATAAAACCACTTACTTTGCAATTGCTCACACACTCTGCGGTGCGCGTAGACCAGATGCGAACGGAACCGTCCGCACTACCGCTGAGGACGTGACGACCATCAGGACTGAAGACTACGTCGTTGACAAAGCCTGTGTGACCCACGAATTCTTTTAGCAGATTACCTGACTTCATTCCATGAATCCTTAAAGCAATTCACAGCAGCCGCTAATACGGGTTGAATTTTCGATTTGAGAGTAGGTATTTCTCTGATACCTCTACGGTCACTCTATTTAATTCATTTTAAATCGGTATTACTCAATTAGCAGTTTACCACAGACCAAGCGGAGACGTTGGTTTAAGATCCACAATTAACAAGTATAAGGTCAATAAAAACCACCTTACCAAGGGCATATGATAGTAAGCAAGGGAACAAGACGAGTTCACACAAGCCTGACAATTGGATATCAGGCAGTTTTGTCATGGCCTCAGCATAGCAGATATTAGCCCATCTATATATGATGGAGAAGCCAACATTCCACAATGTGCAAAATTCAGACTTATTAGACGTTTTCAAATTCAATGGCTAAAAAACGGAATACCAAGGATGGAATTTCTAAAACAACCCGTAGAATGGTTTGTAGAACCTATCATTTCTACAGTCTTTGAACATATCAAATAAAACGATGAATACATTGTAAGCAAGGTTGCAACCATACTGATAGAACAATCTCAACCATTGTCCCACATCCATATTTTAGGCGTAAAGGAAAACAAACGACTTTCAATCACAAGACAGAATTTATCGTCTAAATGTTGGCTAATGTTGATGGTGTGGCAAAATGTCACCGAATGTCGAGCAACGTATCCTAAGCGTTGCTTAATCGTAAATCAGCGTCAATTTATGATACAACGGTTTTTTGACCAAGTGACAAGCTGAACCCTGTGCTCAACCATTTGACAGATCATCGTACGCGTACTCACCTGAGGGAAGCCCAGTGAAAGTCATGTAAAACATTGTTAACGCCTACATCACATAAAATACAAATGAAATACTTAGTCAAGTAGGTTAGACAATCGAACTGAGGTGACAGAAAAATGAGTTGGCTAATTGAGCTAACCAAGCATTTAATGACAAGTCATAGCAGAATTTTGATGTGAAGACTTATTAGTGAGGTATTTTGCTTAGGAAAATCAAATTAACGCATATCAGATACAGTACAACAATCCGATAAAAGATTATGCTAGCATCAATATTTTTTACGCAAGTGCCAAGACAGAACAAGTGAAATCAGTGGCGACACCATAGATAAAAGATCAATTACGCTAGAATATGAGACATTTTCGATAAACATGCCCGGACTAAAATATGTGTTAAGCATTACAGGTGGCAAACGAAACCGGAAACACTCAACAAACTAACCGAATGGTATGATCATAACTAGCAGTAAGGAGCTGGACATTGTCCATGGAGAAGTGGGCAGCAGTGACACCCTTCGTGTGTGCTTTCTCAAAGCGACGGAGACATTGACCCGATTGAATACGCCATATTTTCACCTTGCCGTCCATTGAACCCGAGGCGAGCAGTTCAGAGTCGCGGCTGAAGGCCAGACACAGTACCGCCGTATCCATCATCATAAAGTTTTCCTATCACAAGCAACGCATAGACAGAGCACTTGAATGCAATGGTTTAATGAATGGTAGTGCCGTTTTGAGGTTTCATCAAGCTCTTCCATTCTGTATTTTGGAGGCACAGTAAAAAAATGAAGTGAAGGCGTTTAGGCTTCATAGAAAGTGCTTAATTTTTCAAGCTTAGCAAATGCTGACAAGATACAACACTAGGTTTGCTATAAAGAAATCAACTTCACCTCTAAATGGAGATCATTGTCTGTATATGCGTACCGAAAAAAAAAACATTTCTGTACGAAATTCCGATTTAAAAGCCTGCTTAGTGCCTGTTCTAATTTGCATCGCTAGACGCATGTAAACGCTGGCTCTGTTTGAAAGAGCATAAGGAAGATGAAAAACTTCATTTTTTAGAGCATATCTCAGGCTATCTTCAAGAAATACTTGTTAAGGGGGCAGAAAATATGCAGG